AAATTGATAATTTTAGGTTCATGGCATAAAGTTGTGCCGGGGAGCAACTTCTACAATTGCTGTTCCCAAGAAAGTGGCAAAAATTACTTCACATTTTTCACCAAAAAATGGAGAAAATATTCGTGCTATTATGGCCAGTTTGGTATTAGCATTTTCAACCATTGCGCAATCAAACAAATTGGAAAAGGTATTGAAGCCAGAAAATTTAAAGTTCCCAAATCTGACAAGACACTCAGAAAATATGTAATGGAATATTTTGAAAAATGTCGTGAAAGAGTGAAGAAAGAAATAATCGATTTGAAAGATAATAAAATACTGAAAAATAATAGATTTAGCATTTCATTCGACGAATGGACTTCTGTGGCCAATAAACGCTACTTGAATGTAATACTGCATGGTCAAAAAAACATATGGAACTTGGGACTCGTCCGAATAAAAGGTGCCGCAACTTCTGAAAACTGCATTGATATGATTGAATCTCGTTTGGTAGATTATGACTTGAGTTTAGCAACTGATATTATTTCTATTAYCACGGATGGTGCCTCAACTATGTTGAAAATTGGCAAACTCATAGGTCCACATCAACAGCTGTGCCTGGCACATGGAATACAGCTAGGTATCCTTGATTTGTTGTACAAAAGACAAATAAGAATTGAGAAAAATGAAATTTCTATATGTGAAGATGATGATTCCGAAGAAGATACGAGAGATGAAACTATTTGCATATAGGTAGACATATTTATTTATTGTAAAAATATGAAAATCTACTTTAAATATGAAAATCTAATTTTTATGGTATTTTTAGTTAGCTGATAATGAAGAACGTGGAGATAGACGATTTTGATATCAAAAAAATTATAAACAAAATTCGGAGCGCTGTACGGTCATTTCGAAAATCTCCCAAAAATAATGAAATTTTACAAAAATATGGTAAAATGGAGTTCAACAAAGAGTTSCAGCTCATCCTAGATTGTCAGACTCGGTGGAACAGTTTACTAAAAATGATCGAACGGTTTCATATGCTGGAGTCTTGCTTGAAAAARGCGATGGTCGACCTTAAGGCAGATTGCTTGGAAGATTTTGAATTTAWTATTATTAAAAGCATTATTAAAGTTTTAAAGCCGGCAGAGTTAGTTATAGAAGCTTTGTGTCGCCGTGACCTGAACCTCTGTTCTGCTGATGCAGTGATACATTTTATGCTGGACGAAGTTAAAAATGTGGACTTATCAATAGCTTTCAATCTTTTTGAATCAATTAAAAAACGCGTTTCTGAAAGGCGCACAATATACACGAATATATTGAAACTATTAATAACGTCAAATTTTGTAAGTACCACAAATGAACCGAATTTAGAAGAAATGACAAACACTATTGTAGAAATTGCCAAAAAGTACAATACTAATGATGTTGAGAATCGCGATATCGATTTAAAAATAATCGAAAATGAAAGGAAAAAAACGTTGAAGGAAAGGTTGCAAGAAACTGTAAAAGAATCTCGCGTTTGAAAAAGAGATGTATCATTATCAGTAGAGGAAGCGGTACCAAAAGAAATAAATTTACTTCTTGGGGGTGGCGGGCTTGGCAGCAATCTGGAGGTTGCTTGTAATTTTTTAAAGAACCACCAACTAGTGTCCAATGCGAGCGTTGTTTTTCAGTGTCTGGCCGCATTTKCACTAAAATCAGATCTAGTTTAAACGGTGAAACAATGGATGCGCTTGTATTTTTAAAATACTATTTAAAATTAGTTCCTACAGAAATCGATCTCTGATTATTATTATTTGTTTTTTGACAAATTATTATATATATAATACCAAATACATAGGTA